CATTCCCCCCCCCTGCAGATGAGAGATGCTTCCCCGATACGCTCGGGCCTGGAGCGCAGCAGGGGCAGCGTGGGGGATATGTCGGGGGCGGCGGGAGCGCCCGGTGGCGGCGGTGAACATTGAGGCGGCGGGGGTGGTGGCGGCGGCGGCGGCAGCGGGGGGGATGGACAGGGCGGAGGTGGCGGTGGTGGCGGCGGCGGGTGCTTCTAAAACAGCAGCCAGTCGCAGCCGAGCGCTCACGTGATTCACGCCATGAGAGGCTTCTTTCGGTCCATTGCGCTGGGGAAGAACCAGTCCATGGCCAACGTGCTCCAGGTGGGGTTGGGTCGATCGATTCGATGTAGTATTCGCCATGATAGGAAGACAGCAGCTGTGTAGTTGAGTCAGACCTTGCGCCAACAGAGCAGCGGCCCGTTAAGCAAGGATTTGTGTGCGTTTGAGTTTCGTTTTTTAATGATAACGATATTGTCGACGGTCCTCGCCGCGCAATGGTCCGTTGTCTGTTCGTTGGGATGTCGTTGTCTGCCTATCCATATCTGACCGTCTGTGTGTGTCTTCTCTTTGTCTCTCTCTGTCTCTTCTCTCTTTCTCTATCGCTCTTTGTCTTTCTGTGTGTTCCTCTGTTTATTTATCTCTGTTTGTCTGTGTGTGTCTGTGTGTGTCTGTCTGTCTGTCTGCCTGTCTGTTTGTCTGTCTGTCTGTCTGTCTTGTCCGTCCGTCTGTCTGTCTCTCTGGTGCGCACGTTCGTGTACGGGCAGGACACGTTGCGTTTGCTTACGCTCTGGTTCGCTCACGGAGGCTTCGAGTCGGTGAGATAGAGATAGACATACAGCGAGAAGAGGGTTTCGTTTTCGATTCTACTGTACGTTTACACATGAAGATGTTTCGACATTTGCATTTTTTTTTTATCATATGCATATCACATCACAAATCCAGCCATGAAATACAATATACAGACAAAACGGGCTACGAGGGTGTAGATACCCGCAGCGAAATCACCGGACGACCAACCCCTCGTACATGAAACTGCTGCTTCTAACCGCTCGAAAGATACACTGGTAATAATCAACTGCTGCTGCTGCTGCTGCTGCTGCTGCTGCTGCTTTGCTTGTACCGTTCTTGTTGGGTCTGCTGCTACTCTGCTGCGGCTGCTGCTTGTACCGTGCGCGTTGGTTCTCGTGTCATGACACACACACTCACACACAGGTGCACCGGGAGATGTCCCTGGGGATCCAGGCTTGTGGCGTGGACACGTGGCTCGGGGTAGTGCCCCAGCTCATCGCCAGGGTGCACGCCGCCTCCCCCCGCGTGACCAAGCTTCTCCGTGAGCTACTCGTTCGGATCGGCCGAAAGCATCCCCAGGTAGGGGGGGGAGGGGGGGGGCATGTGTCGCTGTTGTTGTTTTTATTGTTGATATGGTTGTTGTTGTTGTTGTTGTGTTGGCGGTATTTTCTATTGTTTTATACCAGGAGTGTTGTTGGTGTTGTCGTCATTGATTGTGTGGACGGTGGTTCTAATCGTTTCATATTTTGAGTGCGGTCTGACCTATTTAGTATGGTTGTCGCCTGCCTGAAATCGTCCTCAGTTTTCACCTCGGTTCGTGTGATGTCGAGTTGGCGTTTTCTCTTTCTTGCGGCTTTTCATGGTTAACATCGTGCCAGAGTATGCGCAGCGATGTCTACACGATTTTTTTTGTTCCTTTGGAGTCTTCCCTTTTCCTAATCTCTAACTGTTGCCATCAACCTCCACTGCTGTCGTGTGTACGGGTGGTTTTGTGTTTCGCGATGGGATGCGATGCGGTGCAGGCGTTAATCTATCCCATCACGGTGGCCAGCAAGAACTCCTCGCGCCCGCGACAAGAGGTAAGGGTCTCCCGCGGTCGTCGTCGGCGTTGCCGTTCTTGCTGCTGTTGATATTGATGTTGTTGATGTTGATGTTGGTGTTGTTGTTGTTGTTGTTGTTGTTGTTGTTGTTGTTGCTGTTGTTGTTGTTGCTGTTGATGGTGTTTAGGGTTGTTGTTGTTGTTGTTGTTGTTGTTGTTGCTGTTGATGGTATTTAGTGTTGTTGTTGTTGTTGTTGTTGTTGTTGTTGTTGTTGTTGTTGCTGTTGATGGTATTTAGTGCTGTTGTTGTTGTTGTTGCTGTTGATGG